AGCGCCTGGCCCAGCCCGGGACTCCAACCCCCGCTGGCCTACATCCTCTTGCCGGGCATGGGCAAGCCCCAGCTGGACCCCTACCCCGCGGCGGCCTACGCGGCGGCTCTATGACCCCCGGCCCCCTACATGGGACCCCTATGAGGAGAAAAGCCGGGGCGGGCGGTGGTGGGAATCGAGGACCTGGACTGGAGCCTTTCCCCGGCGCTACTCGGACCCTGGCGCTCTCCAGCCGGCACCGTCCTCCCAGCCTGCCGCCGCCGCCGCCGCCCAGCATCCCGTCGTGGTGGACAGGCGGCGCTTTCTCGGCGAGAACATTTCCGCTGCCCTCCCTGCTGGTCGCGTCTTCCCGCTCGCCCGTTTCTGCAACCTGTTGCCTCCCTCCCACCTTCCTTCCCGCGCCCCCCCCCCCGCAACTCCATCCTCCATGGACAGGCCAGCGCCTCCCCTTGCCACCCCATCTTCTCCTTCCCCTCCTTTTCCAGGATTTGATGGAAGGGGATGGCAAAAGGAGATCTTCCGAGGCAGAACCTCCCGAGGTGCCTGGTGCTGAACGCCTGGCCGGGAGGAGACAGCCTGGTTGCCGGTGGCATTTCCTTCTCTGACTCACTTGGAATTGTCTGTCTGATGCCCTCTCCTCCTCCTCTTTTTTTTTTAACCTCCCCTCCTTTACCGCCCCAAGTCCTGGCCCTGTTTACATCCGACTCCAGAAACATGCCCTCGAAGGTTTTAAGAACGGAGTTTAGGGAGAAAGTTGGCGCGTTTTCACTGACGTGACTTTAAATGAAGCAGACGAACCCGCACAACAATCATGGTTCCTTGTTTTAGCACCAATTCTTATTTTTATGTTGGCCATTTCGGGGCGTAAAATGAGAATGCAGCGTTGCTAATGTTATCCTTTAGAAAACCCCCATACCTTTAAAAGTAAGGAGTGGCACAGAAATCTTTGCGAGGTCTCTAATTCTGCAGGGGAGAGAGAGAGGGAACACCTTGTCTGTTATTTTCTCTCTCCCACTCCACCCCATTTCACCTAAAGACTGTAAATGTGTAAAATGTCCGTGGGAATTTGAAGTGCAAGAAGGTTTCGCTGCATTACTTGAGCCGCTGGTTTTGGCTGCGATCCCAAGCACACATTGCCTTGGTCACAGGTCTCGTTATCAGGGAGCCTTCTGGCCAAGTCAACGTGTGCGGGAGTCGCGACGAGCGCCGGACGAAAAACGCGCAAAAAGCAGCTCGCGGGGGGACAGCGCCTTGAAAGGCGACACTTTATCCGAAAGCTGGCGAATCCCTTTTCTGGCTCGGGATTTGATCTGATTCGGAGTATAAACAAAAGAAGAAGAAAACAACACCAGACTTCTTGTCTGAGTGAGATAATTATATATTTATTATGATGGAGGTGTCTTCCAATCCGGTATGTTACAAAAGACGCTTATCCCTGCTTTCTTTCTCACTCCCTTTCCCCAAGAAAACCTCGAGTACTCACTCCCATGTGGTTTGCACGCCCGACTTGGCCTGAGTGGGAGAAAGCTTTTTTGTTGCTATTATTAGCCTTATTAATTATTATTATTATTATTGAACCATACATATTCAGTGGCAGAGAATGGTTTCAGAGTGCGGGGCGGGGAGGACTTTTAAGCAATCTCTTCCATCACTACACTTTTCCTTTTGTAATGTGTATATTTGGATTAATGTTTGTGAATCAAGTTGGCTAACCTGTATTTAGTTTATTTTTCCCCTTGGCTTTCTGTAATATAAGGTTTTGGAAAAGAAAGTTTTTAAGTATTGGTTCTAACATTTGACGTGTATAAATGAGTTTGCTGGTGTGTTCTAATTTAAAATTAGACGTCTAAACTATATCTGTACATTTAGAATCTGACTTACCACTCTGTTCATTTTGGAACAAAGAGTTTAAATAAAAGCCTGAAGCAGGGAAAAAGAGAGAGAAAATCCTATATTTCTTGTTGAGTTACTTACAAGATTTTAATCTCAATTGGCCTTACCTGCCTAGGCCAGGTGAAGTGTAAGGTATCCTCCAAAGACTGTCTTTGTTTCGCTTTTGAATAGATTGACTGGGAAATCTAAATCAGACCATTGTAAGGCGGAACTAAAACCTGATTTATCACATTTGAAATCGTGAATAGGAAAGAAGATTTAAAAGAAAAGAAAAACCCCCGAAAATCATTCCGAGTAGTTCTATTATCATTAGGAAAGGGGAAAGGAAGATAAAAAGAAGTACTATTCATGAACTCGCTGGATACACAGGGAAGTCCCAGCTAGTTTCAAGGTAATCTTTTCTGAGCATGAAGTTTGTTTAGCTGCTCTGTAGGATGAACGAGGCTCCAGTATAAAAGAGCTGGATGTGCTTCCGAGGCGTGCAATCTGTGGTGGACATCTCTGAGATACTTCTGACGACAAACTCCGAGGTCGTCCCCCTGGCAAGGGCACTCTATCTGGGCCTGTTTGTTTTCGGTGCTTAGGCAAGACGGGCAAAAAGAAACAAAACTCGGGGGAAGCTAAGAAAATTCAGGTTGCAATCCTACACCCATTTACCAGACACTACATGCCGTGGAGTACGGGGCGGAGGTGGAATTTACTTCTGAGCAAACGTTGCATTTTTAAGTCCCCTCGATTCTAACGGGACTTTCCGGTGGGGGGGCATCAACAACAATCCTATGCACCTTTGTTGTTGTTGTGTGCGTCAGGGCGCTCCTGACATACGAATTTGTGACCTCTCTGCAGCTCGATTTGGAAATAAAAGAGCGTGGCCCTGACTTCCAGGGAGGCGTAAACAGGATTAGGCCGTACAGCTGCAGTCCTCCGCACGTTTGCTCGGGAGTAGGTCTTTGAACTGAATTCAGAGTGACTTGCTTTCTGCGAGGCAGTCACAGGCAAGGAGTGCAGCCGGATGCTTCATTCTGGCCACCGCTCACGCCCTGCATTTGGAGAGAAAGGGGAGAAAAGCACCGGCTCTTGAAGCCGCTTCCTTCAGGCAGGAGCTTAAGGAAAATTGAAAAGGGCCAGCAAGAAGGCCAAGCCTGTTCAAAGTCGGAGCCGTGAGGGGGCGGCGGGGAAGATCGCTTTCCAAAACCGCGCTCCTTGTGCTCGCCCTGAGGACCTGGCCTCGTCCCCTCCTGAGCCTTTCTCCGATGGGGCAGCTAGGAAGGGCCTCCGCCGCCACCTTCGTGCCCCTTCAAACTCGCCAACCTGGTTTCTTTACTTCTTGCCTGTTTTCCTTAGATCCCACCGAAGGCAAGGAAGGGCTCCTGCTTCGTAAGAGAAGGGTGACCGTTCAGGCCTTATTCCTTCCTCCCTCTCCCTCCAACGCAGCAATATTGTGACCGTCTTAAACTACAGGATTGGTGCCTTTGGTTTTCTTGGGGCGGGAGGAGTGCATGGGAAAAAAATGGATGTATATGTGCGAGAAGATGTCTTCTCGGGCCTGGCTCTGCTAATTAAAGTGACCCACCTTTTGTCATCCCTCCAGCGCTTTGGCAATATCCTCAGTGAATTCATATGGTTCGGAGCGATTATGCAAAACTAATTCGGACTGTCCAGAGGTAATTAGCCCTGACACGCTTAATTAAATCCTTTCAGGATCTCCACCTCCACCTCCTTCCCCCCCCCCACCGCCATTTGTGGCAGCCCATCATTTCTCAACATGAAACTTCCTGCTGTTCCGTAGACATTCGTGTCCTAATTCTTCCCCGGACCTTTCTATGTGCCCTAGCAAACACCTTCCCAAGATTCTTATGAGAGTCAGATAACGAGGAGATACTGTCTTGTTCAAGGTATACAATCCCTAGGAAATGTGTTCACCACCAAATTGCTCAAGGTGTAGCAAAACATCATAATCCACAAAATACTTTTCCAGTGCAAATTAAAATACCGCTTCTTTTTCCCCTTTACGACTGTTAGTTCAGAACTAAAAGGTAGGACTCGCTCCAAATTAAGCTACTTGCCCTATAAATCTCCTCACATTTGCAGAAAAGTGCAATCGGTCTGTAAATGTGGACAAGGTAAGTAGTTCAAGAGTATCTCCCTCACCCCTCAGTAATCCCCTTGATTATCCCCTGGGTTTAGCAGCGATGCTTCCCAGGGACATAACGGGCAGGGAAGGTAATCTTCTATACCGCACAATGTTATGCGGAGTAAGTTCCAGCAAAATCTTACTTAGGTCTATTCGGAAATGAGCCCCGTTGAGTTCTCCTCCCATATAGGTGGGTGTAAGACTGCAGCCTTACATGATGTTAATATCTGCGGCTATTCCTTTGCATTGCACTCAAGACAGGCGTATGCCCGAGGATCTGCGGCTGTCGCACCTTCAGAATTTCTCCTTGGATAGTTAAAACCTGAACTATTCAAAAGAGAAATAAAACAGACTGAAGGGAGAAGCAAAGGCCAAAGTTTTTTCAGTTATTATTTTTCTCACGAGTGGGGAAACACTGAGAACCCAGCAATATAGTGGTGGCTGATGTGGGGGGACAAAAAAAAAAGTCATCAAAGTATTTGGGAAAACAGGGTCTAAATTTCGCCTGCAATAAATAGGATCCGAACAAGATATGGGATTAAGCACATTTCCTTCCAACAGATAATGTGTTTCCTGGCGGAATCTTCCGGTTCGTTTTCGCCCTTGTCTTGGATGACATGGATCGTGCGAAGGAGTCGGAAGATTCCTCGAAAGAACGTCGAGGAGGCGAAGATTCCACAAGAGGAGGAGTTCAGCATTCCGCAAGAGAACTCGGGATTGCCCAGGATTCCATGAGAGTCCCCTTGGACGAGGAGGCCGAGAGCGGCCACGGCGATCGCGAGCAAGACTTCACTGTTGGGCTGAGTTGATGTGACAAAGCTCACAGCCCTCCAGCTGGGGATGATGGCCTCTAAAGGGGGACTCAGGGTGCGTGTCTCTCTCAGCATTTGCCCCAAATTAGGGTGGAGGAGAGGCCGTCTCTTCCCCCACCCCCGCGCCCCACTGCCAAAACTATCCGATGCCCAGCGAGTGCTTTGGAAACTTTACTAATCTTCCCCCCCCCTTTCTCCACCCGCCCAATATAACTCAAAGGTCGCCACTTCCCCTTTCAAAGACTGATATTATTAATTCGCTGACAATTTCTCTCTTTTTGGTTCCCCTCTCCGAGCTCCTTCTCCTTTCCCTTTCCCCCGTCCACTTTTCTTTTCTCTCTTCCCCCCTCTCCCCAATGTCTCTCACAGGGGAAATGAGGGGAAAAGAGAGCGAAATCGTGAAAAGCGCTCTCTCTTCCCCCCCTTTTTGTTCTACACTGGGAGCGTTTAGACTGTCGAGGGTTTTTTTGTGCAAGAACAAAACCAGGGGTTGGGAGGTTTTGTGAGGGTGTTGTTTGTTGAAGTGGAGCTAAGAGAAAGCGGCGGCTTTCTCCTCTTTGTGAAGAAACCAATCAGTGGTATTTGGAAAACTGTTAGCATTGTGCATTTCTTCTGTGGCCATTGTGAGGCAGTTCTTTTCACAAGCCTGCTTCTTCTTCTCTTTTCTTTTCTTTTCTTTTCTTTCTTTCTTCTGTTTTTTCTTTTCTTTCTTTTTTTTAACCGATCCAGCTGGCCAGACTGAATAGCGGTGCAATTGTGTACACGCTTTGTCCCTCCGGCCCTTCAAGTAGCCCCCTTTGAATAGACTAAGTTGACACTGCATGACAGAGAAACAACATAATAAAAAATACATGAGCCTCTGAATGGGAACAGGCGCATAAATAAATAAAATGGGTGACCAAAACTGGATAAACTGAATGACAAAACGGTGAAAGGGGAACAAAAAGATATTTAACACGCTAGATTAGCATTAGAATGCAATCGACAAGACTGAACAATTGATGAATAGGGTTACCGGCCAAGAAAGAAAGAAACTAAATGCCCTTTGAATAGATCTTTTCTTTTTTTTCCCCCCTCTTTTTTTTGGCAACGGCATTGAATAGATATGCTTCTTGCAAGACTGAATGAGAAAAGGTAAAAATGAAGGTATGCAAATTAGTCGAGTAGACACACGCACGCACACAGGCTACAAAATGCGGATGTGTGCATGAACATGTATAAATCTTGCTCCCTGCATATACAGATATGTACCCTATAGCTATAAGTGCGAACTGAGCGACTGCTTCTGCAGAGATAAAATATTATATTACACATGCACTCTATCTCCCCTTAATATCAGTGTTGCATAGAACATTACAGTGTGTACACCCTCACACACGCCAGGTATACAGGCGTGTATACACATCTGCGTACAACAGAACTTTATTTTAAAATGTTGATTCAATTTTTTGGTTTTGTATGCGTCTTTCACCCTGTTAGAATTTACACAGTATATATTGCAACCATAACTGCACTTTATCCCACGGCTTGGAAGCAGAACCAAACCAAGATAACGATCATATTACTTTATTCGTCCCGTATTATTTGAGAAACAATGGGATCTTTATTGAACGTCCTCTGCTGCGTCAATGACGCGAGGAAGATCGGCGGAAAATGTTCCGCGAATTTTGTGACGTCAGATTCCGCCCCGCTCGGAATCCCGAGAGCGAACCCTGGAGGCGAACGATGCACGCGTAGGGAAGATGGGCTAAATCCTTCTAGGTCGCCGTCTGAAACTGGCCACAGATGTCCTTGCTCGGAGGTGAGCGGTGAGATTAAGAGGCTTTGATGGTGTGACTGAGGAGAACCAAGGGAAGTCTGGAAAAGTTTTGTCAGGCCAAAACCAAATAAAAATAAAGACGACAAAAATGTTGTGGGACTTTAAAGACTAACTGCTAGATTTTAATACGAGCTTCCGTGGACAAGTCCGATTCCTCTGTTTATTTTGGTTTTGCTTGTGGCCGCGAGCAGGGCCAACCTCTTCTAAAATTATTGAAAAGTTTGGAAAGCGTTTCGGGAGTGTTCAAGCACCCACGATGGTGATCT